TGCCGCCAAAAATACCCACCGTTGTATACTGTTGTTTATTTAGATATTTTATGCACCAAAAATACTACACCGTTGCATAGGACCTAATTAATTATTATTATAATACATAATACGACTAAGCAATGCAGTGTATTATAATTTTATAATTATTATATTATACAGTTGTTATGTTTAACATGTTTTAAATTAAATTTAATTCTACTACAAATATTTGTTTTTGAAAACTTTGTTCTTTGAATAGTCATAAACTCTAGTTCTGGCTAAACTACATGTTTCGTGGCGACTGCGTTTGATCGGTCCGGCGACGGGGAATCACCCGTGCTCACAAGCGACGATCGATTGTACAGTCTTCTTGTTAACTGTTAATATCTACGTGTTTTTTGTGTTAAACTTTAATTGTTGTGACCAATCGCAGAAGAGGATGAACCTGATGTGGCATTCACCAAGAAACATTTAGATTAGCCAAACATCTAAGGTAACGAAATATTGCCTATTAATTTAAATCGACATCCAAAGAAGTGCAATGAAAACTGTATTTAATAAAAAAAAACATAATTTTAATTCAAACATAGATTGTTATTTTTACTATGGTTTCCATACAATGCAACTAAGTCTTTGTTTTTAGTTAATCAGTGATTATAGTACAGCAATATATGCTTTTATCCTTTGGTAGTTGATATTTACATTTGTTTAGATTACTAATTTTAAACTTACTATGCAGTTATGAATATTTTTTTTCGTCTCGGTTGATATTTTGACAATTGTGTGAGTACAATAATTATGAATCAAAAATACACCCTAATATATTTGAAATCGTTTGGGGTTGGCTATATAATTTCCAGGTATTTGTATTTCGGGAAGCACTTGAACGGGATCTACTTATTATTTTAGTAACTTTATAATTAACATGGTTTGATACATTTTTAAAATACTTCAATTACATCCAAATACTTCTATCGCTTTACTTAGTCTTAAAAGCTTCTTGAGAGGAAATTAATTTCTAGACAAAATAACATTGAAAAATAAATATTTTTAAAATAATACATATTATCTATAACCTTTAAAATGGTCTATGATAGGAATTTGTTTAAACAGCGTGTTGACAATTTTTTAATCCTAATATATTAAAATATAATAAAAATCCTTAAAACTTCTTGTCCACTTATATTTTAACTAACAGCACGAGGCGAGCTTCAAGAATTCCTTCCTTACAGAGGAAAATTTAGTCTAAATCAGGGCACCGAAGCGTAATCGGACTTAATACTAACGTCAAAAGAGGCTTTAAAATATTCAATAAAATGAGAATTAAACTTGTGATTTCTAAAAACAATATCATTGTCAAATTGGATTTATTTCTAAAAACAACCATGCACAAGAAATTGTGAAACGGTCAAACTTATATATATTATATATATGTGTGTGTGTGTGTGCGTGTGCGTGTGCGTGTTTGTGTGTGTGTGTGTGTGTATTTTTCAGATTATTCCACTGCACTTAAGGAATTTAACAATGCTGTAAACCAATTTTGAGTAAAAATTATTGAAAATTTTACTGTTGATTCATTTTTAATATTCAAACAAAATGCGTTACAAAGTTTAATGTGCCTTAAATATTGTAATAACTTTAACATTAATCAAAAATTGTCATAACTATGATACGTTCAATCTTTTATAGTCTATCTATTTCTTAAATGATTTTAAATAGACAATACTGTGCATGTAACTGTAAACAATATAAAAGTTGAATCAATTTTAGAATATTTCTTTTGTAGCAATATAGGCTAGAGCGAAAAAATTGTATTGGGAACTTGGCTAAGTAAATGTTATTTAAATACTACAAAATCGATTTAAATGTAAAAAATACCTATTTCAGATGCATTTGAGTATTACATTATTTCACAGCAGACACAAAGTTTGGCAAATGCAGCTATATTGTATCTCACTGACGCCTCTGGGGCAAAGTAAGAAGTTGGCTTCTCTAAAAGTTTAACACTCCATGTCACCAATTCACGTTATGTACGGTGTTGCAATATTCTTTTCCTATTTTATGTTTACTGGGTTATAAATTTACGGTGGTATAGTTAGCACACAAATCGAAAAGTTACGATATCAAAATGAAACCAGAGTTAAAATGGTGTTAAGAATTATGTACAAATAATTGTACTATTAGTTATAAAACTAAAAAAGATTAAATGCAGGTCTAAATATAACACGTGTATGATTAATTTTCATAGGGGTTACATCCATAAATGGAAACTCAAAATATTTTCATAATTTTCATTGTGATTTTGACACTAAAAGAACAAACTCAGGTGGATATTGTATTAATTTACACCCTTTTCATATTTGTTTAATCAACTAGAAGGGTTATATAAAATTAACTAAGGGTTTTTTTTTGCATGTATTTAAACCAATAACATTTAACCATGTGTAAAAAGAATTTACTGTGAAACATGTTATAATACAAAGTAAAACGATTATGTACAATGTTTAATTCATCAAGCTACAAGCAATGGAGTTTCCAAAACAGATTTTATACGTTTAATGTATTAGAATTCGTTAAAACTAACATATAAACAAAGTGCGCCAACAAAACCTTGAAAAAACATGAAAATATAATTGTCATTAGACTCGACAATTTTTGTTTGGGTTAAACCAATTTCGTCTTTCCTGAAAATTTCAGAAAAGGTACATTGTGAGAAAAAAAATAGCTAGCAAGTGGACAAACCAATTTCAAGATTTCCATAGCTTCGTTGGTAGTTTTTAAATATTCAAACCAATTCAGTGCTAAAGAAGATCACTATCCATGGCCAATTATGTTGGATAAAATTGAAAGTATTTGTGGTTTCCAAAAACATTTTTCTAAACAATATATATCCCAATTTAGTTTTATTAACAATACATTATAATCATTCCTGATAACACCATGTAACGATTTATATTTTACTTAAACGCATATTAAATTTGTTAAGACATATATTACATGTATTATATATGACTATGTTAACAGAAAAATACTATTTCAAAAATGCTGCAGTGTTGGAGTGTTTAATCAGTCATACAATTGAAACAATACTCTGGTGATTGACTGTTTTTATTTAATTTCAATTTGTAGTTGAAGTTATGAGGTTAGAAAGGAGTAATAAATAACGATGACTTCATTTAAATAGCATTTCCATACTTATTTGTGTAACTAGTGGGCGAAATGTTACACATTATTTTCCTACAGTTACTATAAATTATATAAATAAATAGTCTTTCAAACACAGAACAACACGTTTTTTTGTTAGGTTAAATCAAAACATTGAACGAAATTGGAAACGCTGCACCAGCTGATCGTTTTCGTAATACCTTTCAGTGTTGCCAACTTATTTTCTCAAGCGTACACGTATTAAGTGCATAATAACAGCATACTGTTTTGTGTTGTTTGGTTGGAATACTGGTGTGCGCCAAATTAAAAACTGTGCGCCAAATTAAAAACTGTGCGCCAAAGGTATGCTTTCTGTACTATAATCTGTGTAAGGAAGCCCACTTTGTCGGGTGACTGTAGGAACAAATATTTTTTTAAATTACAGTTATTTACAAACAATTTGCAGAATATTATAGTAATATTCACTTGTTGAATCGCTTGAAGCAATTTGTAAGTGTGTATGTTAAGTGCGTTCAAAGTTGGTGTTGACTATTATTTACATGTTTGTTTTAAATTTTGTATATGACTGATTTAGCTTTTTATTACGAAAAAGTATGTGTTTTAAAGAAATTATGTATCAACAAAGTCTTTGAGTATTTTGTTGCTTTTTCAAAGGAGCTTTGCAGTCAAACGAAGTTTCTACTTTGTTGAGTAAAACTTTGAAACTTCTTTACTTTGTTTAAGGAGGGTTATAAGGATGAGGAAAATGTTAAAATAAACCATCATTGTGTTTATCCACTATTAGTCAGAATATTGCTTCTGTAATTCTATAAAATAATACGTAACAGTTTTTAGTCAATTGTTTAACTAAGTTAAGTTTTGTCTGCTGTTTTCAAAATCAAAAAAATTAACTTTTGTTTTAAATATGTTAAAAAATCAATTTCATGATTTTTTTTACAGTTAGCCCTTTTGAGTTGAAATGATGTAAAAAAAACTTTGAAGGCATTCGAAAAAGTCTTTAAATAGTTAATTATGGTCAAAATCACTTATGAAGTGACTTATGGCAAACATTTTTAAAATCCTCGTAAAACAAATTTAAACCGAATTAAATTTTAAAGTATGCTTTAAAAACAAAATTTAGAACTATGATCGAACATAGTTCTCGGGATCATAAATATTTAAATAAAATTAACTAAGACAAAGCAGTTAGTTTGGCATAGTTCCATTTTGATAATAATAATGATATGTGGAAACTGAGATTAAAATATAGTTTTCTCCAACAGTAAAACAAACCTGTTCTGTGGTACTATAATTTCTGTTTTTACTAGACCATTATTTGGTTTGTTTTATTTCTTAGTTGTACTTTTTTCAATTACTAGTTACTGTTAACTTAGTTAAATTAGTTATTTCTGCAGTGGCATACTTCCGTGCTATTTTACGTTAGCCAGCTAGCCACGAGTCAAAATAAATTGAAACCATGAACATTTTGATACGTCCAACTTTACATTTGTTATTTGTTATTTTCTAACGTAAAAAATACTATTTGTAACAAACTATGTATTCACTCAAAATTGCTGATTTTCATGAGCTGTAGTGCTACGTTTTGTGGTATATTCCGTTAATTTTTTAGAGTGTTTTCCTTCTAACCAGCTGCACTTATAGCAAAGTATTTTACGTTCAGCAAAGTTCAATATTACGTTGTTTGTTGTTGGGTAGGTTGTACGTTTATTAAGTTTTAAGGTTTTATCTTAAATAAACCAATAGAATAACTAGTTTGTAACCCATGATTTGAAAGAAAACAAAATATATTAATTAAACATTCAGTTATGCATTACTTAGTTTACATTAACAGATAAACTATTGTCAAAACTTACCTAATATCAAGAAGAAAGTGAGCAAAACCAACTTCTGCCTTCCCATAGTAGACGAGCTTAGATTCCAATTTTACATTAAAGAAAATTTAATTATAATTTTATATTTTTCTTCAGCAAGGTAATTTGTATCACAAATAATATTACGTTACAAAACATTGTTAACAATTTACTCTACTCGATTTTAAAATCGAAAATTTACCTGATCAAATCTTAAAACGATACTATCACTTATATACTGGTTTATTGTGGTTTTAAACTCTTTCATCTAAGTCTAAAGGAACGGGTGAGTAGTGAAAGAAGCGTTTATTTAATTCAAAATTACGTGTTCAACTCGAATAAGAGACGTAAGTTCTCCCTTCGGGGCGCGAGGCGGTACTGACGCTCTATTGGTGACCCCAGGCAAACTTCGTGTACCTTCGCCAATGTTCGGCTGTCCCCGGCCCACAATAATATGTTACTGCTCAACATCCAACATCTGCTAGCTGATATTGCACTTTTGTTTTCCCGCATTTTGGTAAATTATTGACGGAAATAAAGTGGGGGGATCCATTGTAATTGGTATATCGTAAAGGTAAATAACATAGTTTTCTTACTAGATACATTTGTTAAACATTTTTATTTCATTTGAGAGATTTGTATAGGGGAGTAGGCTTATATTTTATGTATGGTTATATATTGATTAAAAACATGCTTTCTACTGAGCCAAATCTAAATGGTTAGCTTAAAAGTCTTCAAAAAGCTGTACCTTATAGTTATAAAACATTAAGCATTTACTACACAACATCGTTTAAAATAATTTATATCAAGATTTTTATCGCTGGGCTATCCAAGGTATATCATAACTCAATACAAATAAAAGTCATATGCGATTAAATACCTGTAACCTAAGATATCTTGCAACTTAATGTTATAGATGTATGCATTTCTCTAGGTTTACAAGTCACAACTTTTATTGTTCTTTTACTAGTAGTGGGTCCGCCCCTAGGAGGATTAAACATTAAGGAGAGGACACGCTGTAGTTTCGTTGAAGCCAGCGTACTGGGGAGGGGGGAGGCAGCGCTACTCTCCCGCCCCCCTCTCATACTGCGTTGTATGCGTTACTGGAAGATTTGGTAACAGAAATATCAATTAACTATTTAAAAATTAGACTTCATCATCCTACGAAAATTAAAAAGTTAAATTCTAACCGTAATATTAGGAACCTATTAAGAGGAAAGTCATATTTTTATGAACCAATAGTACGTTCAAAGGTGAGTAATTAATTTACACAAGGATGACTTATTTTTTGGAATTCGTTTGTCCTTGTTTTTATTTTTTGCCATACTTGTATTGTGTATTATTTTTAATACTCTAACCAGAGCGCGGGACTCCGGTTCGTGGGGTCCCGGGTTCAAATCCCGCCATATCACCAATGGATTTTATTGTTCATAAATCAAAACTCAAATCATGAGTAGTACTGTATGTGTATTAGAACATTTTCTTAAAGAGAAATAAAATAAGTTTTAATCCTTTAAAAGAATGATAAACGCACTTTGGCGGTCAGAAGACGCGATGATTGTTGAACATTCACACTTTTTACTCGAAGTTTCTTTAGGTAAACAGATCAAATATAGTTCAATATGATATTTAAAAATCAAGAATTTGATTGCCAAGAAATTGTTTTACTTTTTTATGATTGTAATTTAATTGTAACGGCTGTCGGTGTAAAAAAAGTTAGAGCGGCATTGCATTTTTTCTTAACTTTGGCTATTTAAAATCACCTGCCTAGCACATAAATGACTTAATACCCCCGCCGCAGCAAACCTGCAGACTAAGCGAATTTCCATTTGACTGATTTGATTTACACTGAAATGTCTACTTAAAAATATAACATTTATTCCCGATTTAAATAGAATTAGTTTAACAAGTACTTAGGTTTGCTGCATCAGGGAGGTAAAACTGTTTTTTTTATGTTAATAGTTAGTAAGAAATAAAAACATTTTCCAAATTTGATCAAAATATGTTCATAAACAAGCAAACTACAACAGTTTGCTTATTCTCCATAAGAATAACATGGGAATTTTAAATTTACAATTTTTTGGAATTTTCTCCGTAACCATTAGGCGCATAATAACGCTTCTGTATACTAAATTATTTGTTTTTTTAAGCTCTACAAAATGGTTTGGAAAGAAATTGCTAAATTTTATGTTTTTTGGGTCAAAAATGCGAAAAACCTATTTTTACCCCATAAAACCCCCCGTAAACCCCCGTTCCCATGGTCCGATCATGCTGGATCGCGAACTCGTTCGAATAAACATAGGTTTACACGTTTGTACCAAATTTCATCAAAATCGGATCATTTTTGCTCGAGTTATCGTGCTAACGGACACACATATATATCTATATATATAAAAGGCAAAGCCCTCACTGACTGACTGACTGACTGACTGACTGACTGACTCACTCACTCACTCATCACTAATTCTCCCACTTCCCACTTACCTAGAAGGCTGAAATTTGGTACACTGATTCTTTAGGAATTAAATAGGAAAACTAAGTGGTTTTTATTCTGGTCGGACTCTCGGGCTCCGCCCCAGTGGCTCTGGAGTTTCCCATGTTAACCTAATGAGTACTCATATTTAAATGGAATTAATGAATCTTAACAGCTGTTTCAATTAAACAAGTTGGTTCTGTTCTATGATGTTAAATAGCATTAAAGTTACAACGATTACCAACAGAGTGCAGCACTATTATTTTTTTTAATATTTTACAACAGCAAATCTTAAACCAAAAGTGAGTGAGCGTAGCGAACGAACTTCAACCCGGAGGCGAGTTAAGCGTAGCGAACGAGCTAACCTGAAGGCAAGTGAGCGCAGCGAACGAGCTCCTACCGCAATGGTGAGTGAGCGTAGCGAACGAACTTCAACCGGGACGTGTGAGCGCAGCGAACGAACTTCAACCAGGACGTGATTGAGCCATGCGAACGAACTTCAACCAGGACGTGATTGAGCCATGCGAACGAGCTCACATATGAAGTTAAACGGGGCAAAGCCCGCGGGTACAGCTAGTATATATATAAATATATAAATATATATTAATATATATATATATAAATATATATATATATATATGAAATTGAACGGATGGTGTTTTTGGCCTCTAGGGACCTCGAAACGAAAAAAAAAATCGGTCCCGCGTCCAGGTCTTACCATGAGTACTACGGTAATAGCTTATTCCCTATATGGGAAATTCGCTAAAACTAGTAAAAAATTATATTAACAAATCGAGAAAACTATGAAAAATGCAAATTTAAAATGTATTTCATCACCCGAATTAAAATTTTCATTTTAACCTATTATTAGTAAGATTGTTTTATAAACTGGAAAAATAAAAAAAACTTTATTGTAATTATTTTTCTAAATACCACTTTTAAATATAGGTAAATATATATTTTTTATTTCGAGAAACTCTTAAGGAACACGAATAAATTGTTAATTTGTGTAGATACATCGTATTTTTTTCAAAAACATAATTAAAGTAATCATATGTTCAAAGTCCAGGTCAATTCTTTCAAATTTGATCTTCAATAATAAATAATAAATAATATTTTTTATAGGAATGATTGACACTGTTCGATAGGAAATTTAATTTACTTTAAGAATGCCATCGGTGAATAACACAGGTGTTTTAGTTTAGCGGCAATTTTAATTCGAAACAGCGCGCGTCGCGTTTTTCCCTATCTCTCCCATGTTATAGCCCAGGCTTTTTGCCACTCTACGGCTCCGCGTGCCCCTCTAGTGTTCTGCTAAAGCTGGCTTCACCGCAACACGTGTATTCCTATTCGCGTGCCCTCTCCTTAATGTTTAATCCTCCTAGGTCCGCCCACTCTTCTAAAGGGTCAAAGATATGGAACTTAAACACGAGAAGCACCAGACCAAAAAAAGATGATTCAAAGGTAAGAGAGGACGCTGCACTCTTTTGGTTGGTTAGGTTCCATATTATCATAGAAACATCACTAGCTTTCCTTGGCCGTTGGGCTTTTAATAAATAGCCCTGGCTAAAGAGCCAGATGATTAGTATCAAAGCTATGTAATCGATTTGACACTCGTCTTTCACTCATTGTCGGCTTAAAAAACACACTTTTGTGTGTTGGCGATGTATTGTATGAAATAATTATTTTCTGCTTAGAGGCACTTTTGCAACTGCTCCCTTGATCCTCACTTGAAAATCGGTTACATTCATGACTGTGGAGCTTATTGACACATTCTATTTAATTTAATGTAGCATGTTATTAGTTGTAACCTTTTTAAATCCAACTTTAATGGGCTATGAACGAAGACATGAAAGGAACTGAAAATTTTTACTGTGGGGCAAAAGTGTGTGTGATCAACTTAAACAAATTATGGTCAAATGGTTGAAACAAACATTAACAATAAAGTACATGGTGGATGTTGATAGAAATTTGTTCAGAAGAAATACAGCATTGTCGGTTCTGGATAAACAATAGACTATCATAATTTTATGTAAAATATAAACAGAGCTCTTTTACAAGAGAAGAGGTCATTTGGGTTAAACTATTTAAACGTTTTCATTTTCTTGAATGTTACGTGTTCTTTTGTTGTCATATGTTTGAAAAATACTTTAATAGAATTGAATAAAATAATTGTATATGTATTTGTACAATTTTACTCAGTGGCACTACAATGATTGATATGGTATTTTCATCCTATATGTTTTACCAATACAAAACCGGTTTCGTTTATACTAATAATAAATCAACCACCTAAATCCGACAAACTAGTACGTCTAATTAATTTGCCCTTGCTTTCCTCACATTTTCGTATTTCAAGAGATTTAAGCGTTTGTTAGTTGATTATTCAGGTGAAGTCATCAGACAGTTGGCTGCACAACTCTCGGGTGAATTCAAACCAAACAGTTGCTTCATCAAGAGGAGGAGTTTCAGTGGTTAGTTTGGTGATGGGAGGGGTGATGGGGGTGGAAGGGGTGGGAACTTAGAGGCGGTGTACATTGTTACACTTTGCTAACTAGTGGAGTTAATATAAAATGATAGGAGGAATGTTTTCGAATATTACATTTGCAATAAAATAGTATATTATTGTTTCGTTGCATCTTTGGGATTTCCATTTTTCCCCCATTTGGGATATCTTTTATGCACTCCCTTTCAGAAATTCAAATTTGTGAATGGATGATTATCATGTAATCATCCATTACATGATGATTTTACATGTACATTTCTACGTACTTCCAACGCTGTTTTGAATACCAAAATAATAGGTATAAACCAGCCAATAAGTTTTAGTAACTATTTTAACTTGCCTCTGGCAATAAAGTGGAACTATTTTATTTCACAGCAAATTTTGGATTACTTCTTGCACTGCATTTAAGAAATCCTACTCGGTTGAAGAATTTCTTTCTCTTTATTTTA